CTAGAGACTGCTAAGTGTCTAAAGTTCCTCATGCAGTTCCGCAGAGCCTGCAAGACGGAGCTCTTCCGCCAGGCTTTTACGTAGCGGCCGCCACTACCACCATCATGTGATTAATAACGGGACGGAAGGATGGCCACGGAAGATCTGCCAAAATACTACATGGCACTGGTACCACCGGACTATGTACCAACTATAGGCAATACCACCTTTAATAGTAGCCTGATATTCCCCTGCAAACTGTGGAGACCATCCTGCTCTTATTGAGCACTTTATTCTTTGTTGCTTTAAATGGTTTTACTGTTTTATTCTGCTTTACTGTGTTTTTATGCGTGAGCACTACTGCTCCCTTGTAAGCTGCCCTGAGCCCGCTTGCAGGGAGGGCGGGGTATATAATAAATAAATAAATAAGTATGCGGATTATAGTAATACAAAACCAGATGTAAATACAATACAGGAAACCAGAAGGTAAATACAATATCTCTTTTCACTTGAAACGAAGATATCCATAAAGAGACGAAGAATCCGGATATTAACTTCATTTCGTTGCTCTTCCTCGGTATTAATTAAATGGTTTTGAATAACGTGTCTGTTCAGAACAATAAGATTGCAATCTTCTGAGGCAAACAAGGGCTGTATGGACTTCTAAGGTAACGTACATGGACAATGCTTCATCGCCGGGCAGCTGTTCACAAAACATTTTGCTAAGGCTTCTCATAGAGCTTCACAACCACTCTTGACGGCTAGTGCTGCCTCTTTAGACACTCCGCCGTCTCTAGCGTCCTTTCCACACAGGTGTTTCCCATTCGCTCTTGTCTGGTTTCTGTCATCTGTGGAGTAGACACCTTTGGACTTGGTGTCAGCTCATGGAGGATTAATAGGGCCAAGGATCAGAACAGCTGAACTAGCTCTTCAGCGACTTCTCCTTAGCACTGCTGGCTACCAGGCGGCTTGCTGAGATGCAGAGGTTGTTTTCATTTCCCGGTGCCAAAAAGAAGAAGCTCTTCACCCAGTACTGCACTGTCTGTTGGTAACCTGGCAGCAGTGCCCCCTCTAAGCTGTGGAGTATTGTGAGCAAAAATTCTACTTTGTGAGCTCCTGGCATTAAAGTGAGTGAGTGATTTGGCTGCTGCATAAATCAGTTTGCTCTGGAGCCATCCTTCCTGAGCCAAGGCAAAAATGTGTGAGCCGGGGGCTAAAAAACAGTGAGCTAGCTCACACTCACTCAGCTTAGAGGGAACACTGCTTGGCAGTGGTCACTCTCACACCACCTCTAGATACAGCAGCTGCAGTTTTCTCTGTGAAGCTTCTTAGCTGCTGAGAGACTTGTCTGTGGATACCTAGTCCCTTTTGAAAACGTATGTAAACTTCCCATGCCACAGCAAAAAAAAGTTCCATCTCAAGAACTTTCCCGACAAACTTATGCCACCCACGTAGGAGCAGCAGGCCTCTTGGGGCTTGTTCTGCGTTTGGAGTGGGACCGATCTCAATCTTGGCAGTTCAGGCAAACACGAGCATGCTCGACTTCCTAGCTGCTGCATGATTCTGTTGTACTCCTGGGCTAATAGTCCACAAGCAGAAGAATCATAGAATCATAGACCGTTAGAGTGGGAAGGGACCTTGCAGGTCATCTAGTCCAACCCCCTGCACTCTGTGGGAGCAGAGCCGAAAAACAGCCCTGCATGCCTACAACCAGTGTTCCCTCTAAGCTGAGTTAGTGTGAGCTAGCTCAAGGTTTTTTAGCCTCCAGCTCACACATTTATGTCTTCGCTCAGGAAGGAGGGCTCCAGAGCAAACTAATTTATGCAGGAGCCAAACTGCTCGCTCACAGCTTTAATGCCAGTAGCTCACAAAGTAGAATTTTTGCTCACAAGACTCCACAGCTTAGAGGGAACATTGCCTACAACATACCCGAAAGATGGTTGTCCAGCCTCCGCTTGAAGAGATTGCTAAAGGTCAGCTGTGGGACCCCTGAAACAGATGGAGGCTTGGACACCTGGTTTTATAAGGTATTTATTAGTCTTCTGGGCGTTATTTGGTTTATTATTCTGTGTCGCATTTTACATGGTAATCAACACCTCCAGTAATATTCCCCCTACCAGTATATCCCCTCAGTTCTTCCTTGTTGGAAGTACCAGCACACAGCTCTCTTTGGGTATTCTAAATAAGGGATGCCACGCATGGCCCTTCCCTGTACCCAGCCCAAGAGGATTCTGGGGGCTGGATGGGCGTTCTGTCCCACTCCTTTTTTCTTCTGAATGAGTGGTTCAAAGGTGCACTTCAAACATAAGAACATAAAAGAAGCCAATGTTGGATCAGGTCAATGGCCCATCCAGTCGAACACTCTGTGTCGCACAGTGGCCAAAAATACCAGGTGCCATCAGGAGGTCCAGCAGTGGGGCCAGGACACTAGAAGCCCTCCCCCCAAGCACCAAGAATACAGAGCATCCCTTGCCCCAGACCGAGAGTTCCTATCTATACCTTGTGGCTAAGAGCCACTGATGGACCTCTGCTCCATATAAGAACATAACAGAAGCCAATGCTGGATCAGGCCAATGGCTCATCCGGTCCAACACTCTGTCACACAGTGGCTAAAGATACCAGGTGCCATCACGAGGTCCAGCAGTGGGGCCAGGACACTAGAAGCCCTCCCCCCAAGCACCAAGAATACAGAGCATCCCTTGCCCCAGACCGAGAGTTCCTATCTATACCTTGTGGCTAACAGCCACTGATGGACCTCTGCTCCAGATGTTTATCCAATTCCCTCTTGAAGCCATCCCTGCTTGTAGCCGCCACCACCTCCTGTGGCCGTGAATTCCATGTATTCATCACTCTTTGCAGCCATAGGAAGAGATGGAGAGGTTTGAGTGGGGCAGAATAAGGCTGTAATGGATACTTGCCAGATGACAGATACAGAAAGGTGGGTGGCTGTTATGCTGTTCATACCAGCTACGCTTCAGCATTTTTTTACTTCAGCGCAAATTAATTTGTTGTGTCCTGAAGCACCTTGACTGCCATCACATCCTTGCTCAGCACCTGATAAAATTGCTTCGGGAAGTCCTCTTGACTCCACTCTCGGGTCTAGTGGATACAAGAGAAAGGACAGAGAAGCCCTTCTGTCTGTTCCCTCCTCTGTCCATGGTGCTGAAAATCCCCTTGAAACAAGATTTTCATCGGCTTTCTGGTATGGCAGAATAGGTATGTTGATATTTTCTGGCTCATTCGGTCTATGCCCATGTGAAAATGTGGAAGTTTTCTGGCTATGCAGATGACTTTGGCAGACGTTATGAAAAGGTTAACTAATTTTCAGAGGCGTGCAGAAAGAGATGGCTGCAATGACCAAAGAACCTAAGAGATCTGTGTTTTACTAAAGCTGCACTTTAGACCCAATCTGTGACTTCCTTTTAACTCCCCAGAACCAATGCAGAACCCAAATGCTTTGGGGTGGAGCTGTACACATTGTTCGTTTGTGCCTAGGACACTTGCTAAGCTGATAAATAATTATTAATCGTTTTGAGTGTATGACAAATGAGGGGCATAGAAACATCCTGGATAAATAGATTTATTTTCAGGGCAAGAAAGGGGGAGGGGAGAGATGTCAGAAGAAGAGAGGTCTCAAGTTAAGTCAAAGCCAAAGCCAATACGGACAAACTTAGTCTTTTAAAAATCTCACTGAAACATATGGGAGTTGCCTGTCACTAACTTCTCTCATTAATTCCTATGGAGCTGAAGTACAACCACCTTTCTCAAGATTGGGGCCAAAGCTTCCACATTTCCACACTAGCAGAAGTTGGCCCAATGGAAGATACCATCTTATCTCCTTTAGAAGAGTATTCTCTTCCCAACTGAATCAATTTCCCCCCCTTTAAAATAAATCTGTTCTGAATACCGCGTCTGTTTCAAACACCTTGCCAACTTCCGACTCCTCTTTTCTCTACATGGAGCTATTCCCGGACATTCAGTTGAACTCGAGAAGCATCCAGTTTATTTCACAACAAGTCATGGAGCACCCAGAGGGGGGGGGGGAGAAACAGCTCACTTGACTCGACAGTGCAGGGGGCAAGAACAGCGCCAGTCACCCCCCCATTGTACAGGTGGCGTAGAATGCTATTTACAAAATGGGCAAACGGTCTCCGTATCATCCACCATGGGGAATGCACGACTGGGAAATGTTTCTAGTTGGCTAAAGAGTACAGCCCCCAGCAAGCAAGGAAGATAAGGAGAGGTCTGGTGAAACATGAGCCTCCGGAATGCCCCACACACAAAATCAAGAAAGTGAAACATCTAGCAGGGGAGAGTTGGCGTCAAATCTGTAGACATGACCCCCCCGTCACTGAGTCTGACATTGAGTCCGCACAGAGGACCCCTCTTTCTCTAGCACCCAAAGACCGAACAGCCTGAGCTGGAGGCTTCAGTCGCAGGATTGTGGCCTTGCAATAGGTATAGACAGGGTAGAATGACTTGGTTGCCAGAAAATGGCCAGGATGTGACTCTGGGTTCAGAGATGAAGATGGGGAAGGTGCTGTTCCAAAATGGAAGGTTGTCAAGGAAGGAGCACTGCGCAAGGGGTTAATTGGCCACCTCCTCTCCTACCGGTGGATGTTTACTCCTCCTCCGCCACTCTGCCCACCTGGTCTGGAGCCTCAAAACAGAAATCCCCCAGGAAGGTTTCTCCTAGCAGCTTTTTAGCGGCCTGCATCTTCAGACATGTATTTAAGATGTTATTTAGGAGCCCGGATAGGTCCTGCCATGTATCTGGACAATTGTGAATGGGGGGACACAACCCAGTTTAGAGGTCCTCACTAACGTGGGTATCGAAACAGATAACACATTGACCAGTTTTACGAGTCAAGGGAGGCCCCGAGTCTTAAGAGGAGAAGGACCTCAAAGCCTGTATTTTCATTGTTAAAAGGATATCGAGGAGTCGGAGCATCTCCGAAAGGACTCGTGGAGTGCGAGAGTCCTAGGTAGGTTGCCAACGTCGTGCTGGGCTCGGGGGAGTCTCAGGCGTACTGCCAGATGGACCACAGAGTCCCCAGGGTGACGCTGTAGGCCAGCACGGCGACCAGGTAGGCCCGGAAGAGCAGCACGTCCAGGACGTAGCCCACCTGCAGCCATTCGCGGGCGATATCGCGGAATTCATCGCGCTTCTCCAGGAACTGATGGATGGCTGCGATCTCCTGCAGGATGCTTTTGAAGATGTGTGAGCCCCCTTCCGGGGCCTGGGGCACTGTCCCGCTCGCTACTCCATCGTAGTCCGCACTGTAGTGGTTCAGTTTGGCTGCAGGGGGGGGGGAGGAAGACAGAACGGCTCCTCAGCAAAGCTGGAATCAAAGCAGGGGTCCCAGCTGGGGAGCCGTACTCAGCAGAGGGCTGGAGTCGAGGGCCAACTGAGGTCAGTACTCCGCTTTGCTCATTGCAAGCCATTTTGCCACAACAGAGGAGGCCCTTTCCCTTGGTTGCCACCCATGTAGCCTTGGTGACCTTAGTCAGATCCAGGCAGGGAAAGAACCACCCGCCTCCTCCCGTATGAACCTGCCTCTCTTTTGCTCTTTGGCAGGTGTACATACATACAATAGGAGATCAAATTAAATATACATCAGGAAATACAAATCCATACAGGGTACAATTGGAGCTACAACACAGAAAAACAGAACAAAAGCATAAAAACTTATCAGGACGTATAGCCATAGCACTAAGAAGAACCCTTGCTGCTATTTTAGTTATTTCCGTATCTGAATTATCAAGCAAAAAAAAAAACACCTTAAAATCTTCAGGAATCTCTGAAAATTGAGCTAATATAGGATGAAGAAGGAGAAGGAGAAGAAGGAGAAGATTGGATTTATACCCCACCCTTCACTACCCAAAGGAGTCTCAGAGCGGCTTACAAACTCCTTTCCCTTCCCCTCCCCACAGCAGACACCCTGTGAGGTAGGTGGGGCTGAGAGAGCTCTGACAGAAACTGCTCTTTTTCAAGGACAGCTCTGACAGAACTATGACTTGCCCAAGGTCATCCAGCAGGTGCAAGTGGAAGAGTGAGGAATCAAATACGGTTCTCCCAGATTAGAGTCCGCGCACTTAACCACTACACCAAACTGATGGGGTGCCAAATAACAGGGACATTGAAGAAGAACGTGGGGGACAATTTCAACACAGTCCTTCATACACGGACAGCACCTGCTAGAATAGGGGATCCCCTGGAATCTGTCAGAGAGAAGAGCGGAAGGAAGAACATGAAATCTGGCCAAGGAGATGGCTCTGTGCAAATTTAGAGCTATAAGTTGATAGTGATATACAGCTGAAAGATTTGCATTTGGAGCAATCCATAAATTTAAGGGAGAACAGGTTCTGTTAGCTAAGCTATAGAGAGTTTGCAACTCTGAGCCCAATAAACTAGATTTTATTTTATTTTTAAAGCCTCAGACTAAGAAAGCAAAAATGAAGATTCTAAGGGTAAATTCAAAGGACATATTTTGGCTTCAATGTGAGACAGCTAAGAGAGAGAAGAAGAGAAGAGATTGGATTTATACCCCACCCTTCACTACTCAAAGGAGTCTCAGAGCGGCTTACAAACTCCTTTCCCTTCCCCCTCCCACAACAGACACCCTGTGAGGTGGGTGGGGCTGAGAGAGCTCTGACAGAAACTGCTCTTTTTCAAGAACAGCTCTTATCAGAACTACAGCTTGCCCAAGGTCATCCAGCCAGGTGCAAGTGGAGGAGTGAGGAATCAAACCCGGTTCTCCCAGATTAGAGTCTGCGCACTTAACCACTACACCAAACTGGCTCCCAACTAGAATTGGCAGATTCAGAAAGTAGTTGGTACATATAACTAGATGGGTCAGAGTTGACGCTGAGTCGCAACCAAAGCTTAATGGTGTGAACCCATGCCTGAGTAGCCATCAAATTCTGTCCTCACTCCACACAGCATATAGAACACACATGAACCTAATCAGGGATCATTTAATAGAAAAAGAGGTGCAGGAGCACATTAGCATAACTTATTAGCATAACTTATTTATGCTAAAATAACTTATTTATGCCGGGAGTGTGTCAGAAGGCAACACCCACTGTTCAGGCTCCACTGGACTGTTTTGGATTGCTAGCTATTGGGGGGGAAGGGGAACGTGCAGATCTGTCCTTGCAGGGAAGGGAGAGCTTGTACCTGAAGGCGGGGGGGGGGGGGGACCGGGCCCCCCTGTAAACTTCCTGCTCCTCGTGGCCTTTTGCATGTGCCCGCCCCCTGGGCTCCTTGCTGCCGGAGCTCCGCTCCTGTGCGCTCCTGTAGGAAGTGACCCCTGAACCTACCCATCTGGTCACTGTTGGTGGCCCTGCTTTGGTGGTCCCGCTCCCTCTGGAGCTAGATGGGTGGCAGCCCAAGGAAAGGGCCTTCTCTTTCATGGCACCAAAACGTTGCAACTTCTAAATTAGAGCACCCAAACACTCCAGTCTTGTTCTACCTACCCTGGCTTCCAGTTTGCTTCTGGTCCCTCAGTTTGCTGGGATTGAACTTTAAATCCCTGTGCGAGCACATACCAACTGGTCACCAACATACCTTAAGGACGGCCTTCTCCCAGATGAACCTACCTGTTCCCTCCCATCCTGCACAGAGGCCCTTCTTCAGTTGCCCCACCCCCTTCTGAGACTAGACAGGCCTTCTCTGTGGTGGCTCCAGTACTTTGGAACTCTTTCTCTCCAGGGAGGTTGGCCTGTCTCCCTCCCTTAGTGTCTTTCACCAGCAGATGGATACCCCTTTTTTGTTTCATCTGCCTATCCCCAAGAACAATGACTGGCCCTCCCGCTAGCAGTCTGTTCATGCATTTTTCATTGAATTCATAGAATCATAGAATGTTAGAGTTGGAAGGGATCTGGCAGGTCATCTAGTCCAACCCCCTGCACTCTGCAGGAGCATAGCCGAAAGAGAGCCCCACAACATACCCAAAAGATGGTCGTCCAGCCTCCGCTTGAAAACGTCCAGCGAAGGAGCCCCCACCACCTCCCGAGGCAGACTGTTCCACTACTCAACCACTCTTACAGCTAGGAAGTTTCTCCTGATATTTAGCCAGTATCGACTCCCTGGTGATTTCCACCCATTTGATCTAGTCTTGCAATTATTTCATCATTTTAACTGTATCTTTCACTGCTGAAATGTTTTAATCATTTTTATGTTCATGGCCTTGTGGACCCTGACTGGGTGCTTAATGCTTAAAGGAATAAACAAAACGTATAACCACAGTCGGTTTGCCCGCTCACCTGTGCTGCCGTTGTTCTCGATGTTCCGGGAGCTGTCCGAGCTCTGAGTGCGGATCGGGCAGAAGGCCTTCCGGTCTCTGATGCAAAGCAGGACGACGGCGCGCTCCAGCACCCAGCGCTTCACCCAGTCGGGGACGTGCGGCTGCAGATCCTGCTTGTGCACCAACCGCACGATGAGGATGGTCTCCGTCAGGCTGATCACCAGCAAAGCCATGCAGACCACAAAATAGACCCCTGCAGGAGTGAAACGGAATCACGGAATCATAGAGCTGGAAGGGGGCAGAGAGACCATCCAGTCCAACCCCCTGGCTCAATGCAGGATCAGCCTAGAGCATTCCTGACACAAGTGCCATTGGTCCATCAATGTCCATGTTGCCTACGCAGGCTGCCATTGGCTGTCCAGGGTCCCAGACAAAAGTCTTTCATGCTACCTACTGCCTGGCTCTTTTTAAGTGGAGAGGCCAAGGATTGGACCTGGGAGGAGGAGGGGGAGATTGGATTTATATCCCACCCTTCACTACCCAAAGGAGTCTCAGAGCGGCTTACAAACTCCTTTCCCTTCCCCACAACAGAAACCCCGTGAGGTAGGTGGGGCTGAGAGAGCTCTCCTGAAAACTGTCCTTGAGATAACAGCTCTAAGAGAACTATGGCTTGCCCAAGGTCAGCCAGAAGCTGCAAGTGGAGGAGTGGGGAATCAAACCCGGTTCTCCCAGATTAGAGTCCGCACACTTAACCATGACACCGGGAGGAGGAGGAGGAGGAGATTGGATTTCTACCCTGCCCTTCACTACCTAAAGGAGTCTCAGAGTGGCTTACAAATGCCTTCCCCTCCCCTCCCCACAACAGACACCCTGTGAGGTAGGCGGGGCTGAGAGAGCTCTTCCCAGAACTGTCCTTGAGATAATAGCTCTGATAGAACTACGGCTTGCCCAAGGTCAGCCAGCAGCTGCAAGTGGAGGCGTGGGGAATCAAACCCGGTTCTCCCAGATGAGAGTCCGCGCACTCAACCATGACACCAGACTGGGGCACACCAAGCGAAGGCTCTTCTGCAGACCAAGCGGAGGCTCTTCCACCGAGCCACACCCCCTCCCCCCTCAGCAGTCCCCCGTCCCCTCGTGGTGTGTCTGATCTCACAAAGCCAGCTGAGATGGCGGCTTAACCTTCTGAGTCTGCCCAGGGATGATGTGTCACCTATTTTGGCCCATCTTCACCCATCAGCACCTTTCCGCTAGCGACAGACCTCGCTGGCATGCAGGCTCGCGAGCTTACCGATCAGTGGGGTCCCAATTGCAGTGGCCGGCAAGGTGTCGGACACGATGATCAGAAAGACCGAGTAGCCCAGCAGCAGCGTGATCTTGAAGGAGACCCTCTCCCCGCTGTCCGGGGGCAGGTAGAAGCCCACGATGTCCATCACCATCAGGAAGATGCTGGGGAGCAGGAGGCTGACAGCATAGAAGAGCGGGCGTCTCCGGATGACCACCTGCCGGCACAGAGACAGGCAGGGGCCTTTGGGCGGGGCAGGAGCAAGGCCAATCTCGGGGCAAAGGCTAATGGCTGCTGGGCTCTCCCCCAAACCGTCTCCTGCTCTTCGTGCCTGTCCAAAGTGACGCGAGCCAAAAGCTTCACAGCGCCCGGTGCCTGGCTAAGCGGAGAGGAGGCAGGGCCGTTCCCACTGGGATGTGCCTGGCTGCCCACTTCTCTCTCCCTGCTGAAATATTTATCCCTTTTGCTGGCTGAAAACAACAACAACCCCCCCCCCCCGCGCAGCCTAGCAGGATTGACTCTCTTTCCCCTGCAAGGGGCCCTTTCTGCTTCCCTTGTGACACTGCCCTGTTTACTGCCTGACCAGTGTTCCCTCTAAGCTGTGGAGTCTTGTGAGCAAAATGTCTGCCCTGTGGGCTACCGGCATTAAAGTTGTGAGCGAGCCATGTGGCTGCTGCATCAATCAGTTCGCTCTGGAGCCCTCCTTCCTGAGCTGAGACAGAAAAACGTGTGAGCCGGAGGTTTAAAAACTGTGAGCTAGCTCACACTAGCTCAGCTTAGAGGGAAGTTCCCAGGGCTCTTTTTGTAGCAGGAGCTCCTTTGCATATTAGGAGACACGCCCCTAATGTAGCCAATCCTCCAAGAGCTCACAGTAGCCCCTGTAAGAAGAGCTCTGTAAGCTCTTGGAGGATTCGCTACATTAGGGGTGTGTCGCCTAATATGCAAAGGAGTTCCTGCTGCAAAAAAAAAATTATTTATTTATTTATTTTGGCATTTATTACCCCACCCTCCCCGCGAGCCCTGGAGGGACCATTGCTCCTGACACCACAGAAACGGGCAAAAAAATGGAAACAGACCTCTCTCTTTGTACTGACAGGAAGAGGCGTGCACAGGATGCCGGATGGATGCACCTCAAGCAAGAGTCCCGGCCTTTTGCATCTCTCCTTGCCCAGGGAAAAATCTCCAGCTACTCACGGCTGGTTGGCGAAACATAAAAAAAGATGCAGTGTCTGAAGAGTCCTGAATTAGATCTACTTTCCTTTGGACTTGCATTTAGCGAGACTGTTATTAGAGGGGATTTGGGGAAGCAGATCTATGGCATATAGCCGTGTCACCTTCTAAATGGCACCTACCACGATGGGGACATCTCTAACCCTCAGTCATCACCAGGGGTCATTTCCTGCGGGAGCACACAGGAGCGGAGCTCCGGCAGTAAGGAGCCCAGGGGGTGGGCACTTGCAACAAGCCCTACCTCCTGCTCCCAGCAGCCCTCAGTCGGGCCACGAGGAGCAAAAAGCAGCCTGGTAAGTTGCAGAGCCCCCCCCCCCGGCCCGCCTCCAGGTACAAGCTCTCCCTCCTCTGTGAGGGCAGATCTGCATGTGTCCCCACCAGTGTTCTCTCTAAGCTGAGTCAGTGTGCACTAGCTCACAGTTTTTTAGCCTCCGGCTCATACATTTTTGCCTTAGCTCAGGAAGGACAGGGCTCCAGAGCAAACTGATTTCCACAGTAGCCAAATCACTCGCTCACAACTTTAATGCCAGTAGCTCACAAAGTAGACTTTTTGCTCACAGGACTCCACAGCTTAGAGGGAGCATTGGTCCCCCCCCCCCAT